GAATTACCTCGGCCTTCCACGACCGTGCTGCGTAACGTGCCTGAGTGCTCCACTCGCTGTACAGCCGAGTTCGGTAGCATTCCGACATAACTGAGCTAATCGTGCTCCCGCAAAACCTGGGTAGCAGAAGCTCATCTCGGCAAAGGTAGACTTCGGGAATGGGCCTCATCCGAGCAAGTCCAAATCTGGGAAAGCTCAGTCCAAACATGAGACCTCGTCCTCAGGCCTGGGCCACGACCGAGCGAGACCAGCTCCGGGTAAGCCCAAGTTAGCTCGGCCCAAACTTGCTTGGCCCCATCCTATCTGGCTTCTTCCACGGCCCAAAGCCAGACTATAAATCTCCCTCTCAATTGTCTCTTAATTCCGTCCGCAAAAGCGTGACTGGGATTACATGATCCGACCGGGCTAGATTTTTCCTCGGCCTTTAACTTGCAAAGCCTTAACCGCGCTAAATCCTGAGCTCGGTTTATCAATTTGCTCGGCTGACGCCTTGACTTGCCTTCCTGTCTATTCAACTCTGACGCCGCCGTCGATTGGGACACGCGTTAATCATTTATTGGCCCTCGAGCAGCCAACCCAGCTGTCCCTTCATATTCAAATTTGGGCGGCCTTTTCACTCCTATAAACATGCCAACTCCCCCTTCATTTTCTTCTTACTAACTCTCCTACATTCCAGACGTCCTCGAGCTGCAGTGTCCTCATCAAGCTCCATTCTTGCTCTCTCCTACACTCGTGTTCAAAGAAGCAGCTTCTGCCTCTAAACTGGTAATCTCTTCGAGACTCATCATTGTATTTCTATTTAGTATTTCACGTTCTTAAGGCACAAAAATCATAGACTTTAGGATATAGCCCCCCCAAAAACCTCCCATGCCCTTTGCTCTCCTTGCTGTTCTTCAGCTTTAATGATGAACACATGAAGATATGGGGCAGACCGTGCTCCAGGTCTTCTTTTGATCCCAAAAAAAATCTAAACCGAGCAAATTGCGTGTTTGTAAAAAAGACTCTTGCAGGAACCGAGGTAGGTAGAGGGCTTGACCGCTCGACCGGGCTAACATCTGGTCTGCTTGAGCGGCCGAGCTTCTAGATTTACCTCAATGACCGAGGTGGTCTGGCACTCCAACAGACCGAGCTAAAGTCAAGCTCGTTTTGCGCGACCACGCTCCCATTTACACTTACCCTCAATTTCCTGCAGAGTCCAAGGGGACCATGCACCAACACCAAGGCTCTCAAAGACCGAGCAGCCACCAAACCAGAGTTTGTGCCAAACCACCTCAGCCGCGCTAAAACTAGCCGGCTACACATGAGGCGCTACCGCTTCCTGGTCGACACGCCGGTCGCTTTAGCAGCGTTCCGGGAAGAATATGGTATCCCAGACAACGTTCACCTAGAGCTCGGGTGCTGAGGACACGACCCCTTGGGGCAGATTAGACCAATGCCCCTTCACCGTGCTTTCTGTCATAGAAGGTGGCCTCCGCTTCTCGGTTAACACGCTGATGTGCGAACTCTTGCGGCGCACCGGGCTAGCTCCAACCCAGGTCTCAACCAACACCTACCGCATAGTAAACGGAATTGCCGAGCTCAACAACTGGCTAGGAACCAATCTAGGTCTGGCCGAGATACTTCGCCAGTATACCCTCGGGCATACAGGCGATGGCCTCGCCTACTACTTAAAGATCAGACCAGGCAAGGAGAAAATAGTGACCGGTACCCCAGACAAGGACTTACATAACGATGACTTTTTTTTGGTGTCTTGCAATTATGAAACAACCGACGTGCCGGGCTGGTATATCAGCAAGGATTTCAGTTCAACATGTAAGCCGTGCTAACTGCTCGGTCAAATTACATTCCTTCTATATTCTGTACTTGATATTTTTTCTTGTCTTTGTAGCAATCGAAGCCTTGCAAGCCAATTACCATTATCCCAACGAAGCAACCATCAGAACCGTGCTCCACTACCGCAACTGGGATTGCCACGAACTCCTCGGTTATATGCCGACCTATAGATACTCAGCTCTACGCCGGAGTAAGGTTACCGACTTTCTTCATGTACCATCTACGCCTCCCGATCCCACATTGCCGAACGTGCCACTTATCCGGTTGACCGAGGCAGAAGAGATGGCCAAAAGAAGCCGCATCAAGAACCTCATCACTGCTACCTCCACCGAGCTACCGAGCATCCCATCCCGCACAGCCGCTGCCGGTCAATCAAGCGGGACCGTGGTTGTACTGGCGTCTCCTGCCGCCAGGTAGGCAAGCAAAGAAAGCCGCCGGGCTGGGAAAAGGCCGCGTACCGCCGACCCCTCTGCCGAGCTAGTTGCGGAGTTAAACACCGAGAAACTAGCTGTGACAACTGACCCAACACCTTCATGGAAGCCACAACTCAAGCACCGGGGTAAGGAGATCCCGGTGACTGCCTCGGTCAAAGGTGACAAGGAGCATCTACTCGCATTTGACCTAACCAAAGCCTTGCTTCTGCCGAGCGACATAGTCGGCAGCGACCACGTGCTAGACACCCGGTTAGTGAAATCCTCGGTCAAGTCCATGACCCGGGTAAGAATCTCAAACTTCTTACTTAAATTTTCCGAAGTGTTGGCTCGGTTTCTTTTCTTTGATCAAGCTTTCTTCTTGTAGGCCATCTAGAAACAACACTTGGTCATGGAGCGCATTCACAGACTCCGACAGAAGGCAATCGACGCTGCCAGCTAGGTTGAGCATCTTAAGACCGAGCTAGGGCGATCAAAAGCTTCTTTAGAGATCGAAAACTCTAATAACTCCAGATTGCTCGGCCAACTTGGAGCCGCTGAGTAAGAAAGGGACGCTCTCCGGGCCGAGCTGGAGACGTTGAAGCAGTCAAGGAAGAAGGAGCTGAAGAACGCCAGCAACGTCGGTTTCAAGGAGGCCGAGGAAAACTACACGAAGCAGGTCCATGCCACCCAAGATATTTTCTTCAAGGCTGGCTGGAAGGCTGCTTGTGAACAGCTCGGCCAAGGATCTAGAACCGATGTGTTTGCCTCTCCCTCAGCTGTCTTTCTATCGACGTACTTGGTGCCGCACGCCAACGATGTCTTCAGTGCATTACAGGTTGAGGCCGAGCAAGAAGAAGCAGAGGATGCCGAGGAAAATACTGAGGGAAATAATTGGCCAGAGCAGACCGGCAATGGCGAGGCCAGCGTCCAAGAAAATACTGCTACGGTCAACTTGGAAGCAACTACTACCGGGGACGAGTTCGCAGACCTTTCTTCCTTAGTGTAGTTTTTTGTCTTCTTTCTTTTTTGTTTGAGAATGTAACCGGGCTACCTGCCCCACCTTTTGTAATGCTATTCCTCATCAATGAAAAGTTCTATTTTCGTCAAGTGTTTGCACTGGTTTGAATGAATATTGATATCTTGATGATGATGATGATGATGATGATTTTGACACTGATGAAACTTTTAAAGGGCAATATCTTGCTTTGAAATTTTACAATGGCATGCACTTAACTTTACGAAGATGATTCTGCATGCACTTAACTTCAATGAAATTAGAAGTCACTGAGGGAGCAAAGACTTCGTGTAGTTATCTAGGTCAAGTTTAGTCTTTATTGATACTTGGGACCGGTGGATAGGGTATGGACTTGATTTAACATAATTTGTTCAGAGTGGTTGTCTTTAGGTTCGCAAATTCACAACCTCAAAATTAATAAACAGTGTTTTAATCACAAAATCAGTGATCTATGGATAGAACAAAAACATCTTGTCTGCAATTTAGCTTAATTTGTTTTAAGTTGTTAGTTGTCCCATATTCGAAATCACAACAACAAAATTAATAAGCCTAATCAGTGATTTATCTGTCAGTAGAAAATTTTATATGTAAATCTACCATGGAATTTTAATAAGCCTACTCACAATCTTATATGTAAATTTTATATGTAAATTTTATATGTAAATCTACCATGGAATTTTAATAAGCCTACTCACAATCTTATATGTAAATTTTATATGTAAATTTTATATGTAAATCTACCATGGAATTTTAATAAGCCTACTCACAATCTTATATGTAAATTTTATATGTAAATTTTATATGTAAATCTACCATGGAATTTTAATAAGCCTACTCACAATCTTATATGTAAATTTTATATGTAAATTTTATATGTAAATCTACCATGGAATTTTAATAAGCCTACTCACAATCTTATATGTAAATTTTATATGTAAATTTTATATGTAAATCTACCATGGAATTTTAATAAGCCTACTCACAATCTTATATGTAAATTTTATATGTAAATTTTATATGTAAATCTACCATGGAATTTTAATAAGCCTACTCACAATCTTATATGTAAATTTTATATGTAAATTTTATATGTAAATCTACCATGGAATTTTAATAAGCCTACTCACAATCTTATATGTAAATTTTATATGTAAATTTTATATGTAAATCTACCATGGAATTTTAATAAGCCTACTCACAATCTTATATGTAAATTTTATATGTAAATTTTATATGTAAATCTACCATGGAATTTTAATAAGCCTACTCACAATCTTATATGTAAATTTTATATGTAAATTTTATATGTAAATCTACCATGGAATTTTAATAAGCCTACTCACAATCTTATATGTAAATTTTATATGTAAATTTTATATGTAAATCTACCATGGAATTTTAATAAGCCTACTCACAATCTTATATGTAAATTTTATATGTAAATTTTATATGTAAATCTACCATGGAATTTTAAATTTTATATGTAAATTTTAATAAGCCTACTCACAATCTTCTCTCTCCCCATCAAACTACCACCAATTTGTTTCGGTGCCGTTTCCAATGCTTGGCCCCGAATGGGCTGTTTTTCCCTTTTTGCCTCACAATTTGTTCTCTAATATTCTCATAACACGTTTATTTGCCTTGACTTTGAACATAAATATAATGCAATTTGGTTAACACAGTTACCCATTACCATAAGTAGCTATGGTGGGGACTTTGATGGATTGAGCTTTTCCAAAACTTGCGCCAACGTGCTCTGAAGTCCAAAAATCTGCATCTGCATCTCCTCACGATGTCTTGCATTCTCTGCCTCTTTCATTTGTTGCTCCTCTTCCTTTTTTTGCTGCTCCTCTTCCTTTTTTTTTCTGCTCCTCACGGTCACTCTGCTGCTCCGCACGCAGTATCTCCAACTCGGATGTAAGCCTTTTCAAGTGCTCCTCACGTGCTTGTGATGCCACATTCGACCCAACATCACAAGACGAGGGCTTTGGTCCGACCCCAAAACCTCTCAAGTATCCCTTCTTCTTCCCCAGCACCACTCTTGATATATCCTCTTGTGTCATCGGTGTTCCAGACTCAATAGACTCATCCCGCACCATTGTCATTTGCTCCTGTAATTGTGACATATAACTATTGTTAATATAAATCAAACACAGTAGTTACTATAAGTGTCCCAATGATTGGAATAGTTACATGTAAATCACAGCATATAGGATCAATCCATTCTTTTGTCTTCTTGTTCTGATGAGTGTCCTTGTAGAAATTGCAAATATCTGGCAACAAGCCACCGTTTTCCTTCACCTGTGATATGCCAAACACCGATATCAACACTAACATATTAAATATGTGTGGATAAAGTTAATGAAATCAATGACACACATCTCACCGCAATGCTCATCGCCGCCGGAAAAGATCGCGACCCACTACTATGATTGTAGGGTAGCTTGCTCCTATTTAGTTTGCCGGCATTGTAGCGACGCTACATAATCCAGATTATAACGGTTTGTTACATATATAGTTAAACAATGATAAAGAGTACTAAGTAATAACTAAATCATAACATACCTTATTTTTAGGATCCAACCATACTTGGTCAATCAAATACTTCCAATCATCGGATTGTACTCCTTTGTATGGATGAGCATAGGGATCAATTCCCGCATCCACAAGCTTCTCCCATTTCTTCTTCATTCTGCACTTCCAATCTTTATATAACACATAACACTTCTTTTCCACAACTTTTTGGGATAGTGAATTATCCTCGTAATTATCCCCAATCTCAAATTTATCCTACAATCAATACAAACACAATAAGTAACTTAACTTATGTAATGTGAAATTGACTACGAAAGCTTAACATCTACCATCCATACAGTCCACCTAAACTGGATTTAGCAGCAACCTGACAAACATTTATAATGCGCATCTTCATACATTGCCATCGTTTAAATGGAATACCAGTATACTATGTTCGTAGAAAAATAACAATTTAAACATAGACATGTGGTTGTGGGTATCAAAATAATTTTACTTGAATCGGCATTTTCTGTAATGATATGTTTATCAGACATGTATGCAGAATCCAATTTCACAGAGCCTGTGATTGTCCTGTTGGTTAACAAGGCACTCACTAAAAAGACTAAATGGTTGTCCTACGTATGTGGTCAAGAATAATATGTCATGTACTTTATGTAGGTTGCATTGCTCTTAACTTCCATTGGAATGATAAAATAATGAAGAGAAGTTTATGGTAAGTAACTTTAAAAAAGCTATATCAACAAACAAAAAAATAAAGGAAACCACGGGACCTTAAACAATTTCATGTACCAACATGATTCATGAATAAGTTGGAATGGGCTGCTTATTTATAGACACCCCCTCCCCAAAAAATCTAAGATGGAATGGGCTGCTTATTTATAGACACAAGTTGAAACAAATGAGCTTTTCATCTCTTCACTGCTTTCAAGCTTCGAAAACCAACAAAGTAAAGAAAGAAAACAAATGAGCTCCTATATGCACATTATAAAAGCACTGTTTCCATCATCCACACAGACTACGAAAGCAATTTAATCATACCCGGACAGCTTGTACAACAGCAGCTTTTGTCGCTGGCTCAGCAACAGTCCAACTCTTAACGCCTTGAATAGGGCACATCCTCCTAATCTGAAGGTCGATCTCATTCGATCCTGGGGTCGCTAGCACACCTTCGAATGCATTGAATGTCTCCGTGATTGGAATGTACAGCTTGTTTCCATTATTATTGGCAATTCTTTTTGCTGTTGCTTTTCCAACTGTTGGTCCCCGCACACGCTTTGATGAAGATGCACCTGGTAATTGATAATATTATTAATGTATTTAAAAATTACAAAATATTAACAATATATATAAATTGAAGACAGATCTCAAACATATTTAATTACCTGAGCCACTCGGTTGACTTTGAGGAGATGGTGGATTCGTTTCAAACGAAGATGCTTCACAACTCTCAGATGCAGCTGGTGCATTACTTTCAGACGGAGATAGTGCAACAGTCTCAGATCTTGACAATGCAGCTTGTTCAGACGAAGATGGTACAATAGTCTGATCTGCTGCAACACCTTCAGGAGTAGGTGTAGGTGTATCGGTCTGTGATGAGTATGGTTCAATTAATGCCCTCTTTGGTGGTGGGAAACGGCGCATCTTTTTCGTAGGAGCCATTCTATTACAATTTAACATAATCAAAGGCCAAAGAGCACAATGAGCACAAATTTTTAATGCATATAGACATATACATCAAGACTAATAATTAACAAACATTTCCATTCATATTCTTAACTCAATTCTGTTACTATCTTGACATGGAATAACATTTGAATACTAAAGGACAAATTAATGTACTAACAATTTTATTAGTTTTCTATTTTAGAATCTTGGTTGATAAAGGAAGTCTCTAAAATCTATATAAAGTCATGTAATGCTTATAATTTAATAAAGTTGATATTTTAGAGATTTTCAAGAGCTTTGATGCTTTCTTATGGATTGTGTGATGCCTAAGGCCTCTAGGAGTGATTCGTAGAAACTATCTTCCTCTTCTCCATCTTTCCCTCTTGTAGACACTTTAACAGCTCAAACTCTATTCACGGGTACTGTTCACAACGCTTAAAGCAGCCCTTGAATAGTGCCAAAATCTCATGTTTTCATGCTTGTACGCTTACCCCTTTATTACTCTAAACAAACCTTTAAAACCCCTATACTCTTATTGCAATTTCAGCCATAAAACCCCAATTAAAATCAGTCCGTAAACATATTGTTGCTGTTGTCCCTACTTGTCCTGCGTCACTAGGTATTTAGTTTTTATGCATCATTTGTTACTATTTTACTAGTTTTATTGGAGATTCTTTCCTTCTTTTTTTTCCCTTCCATTTTTGAAATTAATAACTTCATCTATGAAGTCCAAGCAAAATGAACTCATGCCTGTCTAGTGGCATAATTTTTTTTTCTTTTTTTTTCACTTACGTCGCTTGGTCAAAAAGGAATAGCCATCAAGCGTTAAATACACTTTTGACGGCCTATTTTTTTGCCTGTTTTGTGACAGGGTCATCAATACGAGACAGTGTCAGGTTCTATCTGTGAGGCGTTTGGATATATCCCAAGGACTGGTGAGACTATAAAAGTAGTACTTGAAAAGGCAGACCAAGAAGAGCATGATGAATATACTAAAGCAGATTCTGACCGCCAAGATGACCCACAAAAACATCAAAATTTTAAGCTTGAGGTATGGCTTTCATTTTTTTCCCCTACATTCAGTTCTTAGGGAGTTTCTTCACCTAAAGTAGTAGTTTCCTCTATGTCTGACCTACGTGTTAACTGGTGATATTACTGACTGGGAAGTGGTAGTCTTTTAGTGCTCTAAATGAGGTAGCCACGGAATTTGTCTCATAATTTAGTTTAACCTTTTATAAAGCGATCAATGGGGAGTCAACTTTTACTTTTACCAGCTCACTGGTGCATAAAACTTTTACCAGCTCATTTTGAATGCATAATCGCAATATTGGTTAGTGGATCCAATTCAATACCATGTACTGTAATAGGATGAGGAATGCTGATTGGTTAAAAGTGGTTTTATTTATTTCATGGATAAAAGGTAGTTGCTTTGAGCATCTCTATGTCATGAACTCAACATTTGATAAGTAGTCTATAACTTGAAATTTTGTCATATTTCTAACAGGTGCAATATGAATTGTGTTTATTAAGCATAATTTATTCACTTAATACCTTTAGTTTTTAACTGTTGAATTGGGTTATCAAATACTACCTAAAAGTAACGATGATAAGAGGGTGTACAAGTTATGGCTTAACCAATGAATCACATATGGATTACAGCCCTACAAAAAATCTCAAAGAAATATATATATATATTTTTTTAAATGATAGAACAGCACATATTGGTTGGTGATTTGAAAAGCCACATTCAAGAGTTTTGAACACATCCCTTCACAACAAATTTGTATACGTCAGACAGAACAAGAAAGTGCATAGGTTTGTTTGTGCTGAACCTATATGGAACTGGTTTAGGTCAAGATAACAAAGGGTTAGGAATGACATTTCCCTCAATTATGCTGACAGAAGAGAATACCAAAATGATGTTAGGAACTATTTGAAGAGCACATTCACAGAGTCTTGGTACTTCAAAAGACAGTGCGAGGATATGTGAAAGCAACAGTAACCTTTCTTTATATGTAGAATATGCAAGAAATTGTTTTCTTTTCAAAATTGTTCATTGTTCATCATCTGTCTTCTTTGTAAAAGTTTCCAGTGGCAATCTTGCAGCTCGACAAACACAGTGGGGCCAGACGAATCACAAGACAAACCAGCTTTTTGTAACTGAAGGCTCTCATTATTGGTACAGCCACACAAATCATGAGAAACAATTGATAGTGAATAATTTTCAAAAGTAGTACTTAAAATTTTTTTGCCATTTTGAATTTTTAAGCCCAAAAGTAAAACCTCCCTGGACATGCATTTTTGTTTTTCTAGGGTTCTGTAAAAGGAGAGTGTGAATAGGAGGACTTAATAAGTTAGACTTCCTTATATGTTTAATATATAGATCTTAAGTAGGTCAATAAACAAAGATATTAGCTTCAGCAAAACTAGATATATATCTCAGAGAATTGCACTATTACTCTAACACCAAATCCAAGGCTACACAATATCTAAGAAAACAAATGTAGCAAAACCATGGAGTGAGACTGAGAAGCCTCCTGAAAACTAGCAAAATGAGGGGTATTGCCCAAAATCTGAGAAAGAATCATATAAATCCTTGGGATATATCCAAATGAGGGGTATTGCCCAAAATCAAACCAGTTTAAGAAATCAACACGAAATTATTTAGTATAAATCATATAAAACCCTATAGCAAGAGTTGATAGTTGGGGAAATAGAGGAAGGGAGAGAGAGAGAGAGAGAGAGAAGAGAGCGAGATAGAGAGCGCAACCGACACAGAGAGGGAGAGAGAGAACCTGTGATCTGCGGCGGTGGCGGTGGTGATTTGCGGCTGCGGCGGTGCCGATGTGCAATGTACGGTGAGCTACGGTGAGCGACGGTGGTAAGGGACTGTGCTGAGATGAGGTGGGGTGAGGTTTGGTGGTGATGTGTGAGAGAAGAGGACTTTTGTGTTTGTTTAAACAGAGAATGTAAAAGAGGGCGCGAAATGAAAAAGTAATTTCCCCCTCAAATTTTAGACCTGTGGCGACTAAGGTGGTGTTTGGGAAGAATTTTACCTAGGTTTTTTCTCATTTTTTCCATTAAAAGACAAAAATGTTGCAAAATCAAAAAAAAAAAAAAAAAAAACATCCAAAAAAAATATCACATCCAACCCCATAATCATTTCACTTTTTTTCTCACAAATATCACATCTAACCACAAAAAAATCTAACTATCTTCCCAAACACAGAAAAAAAAAATGACATTTTAATATCTTACATCTAAAAAAACCTACATAAAAACTCACTTCCCAAACA